TGTATGGTGTGTTTGTGGTGTGTGTATGTGGTATGTGTGGTGTATATGTGGTGTATATGTGTGGTGTATATGTGGTGTATACGTGTGGGGTGTGTGTACACCCCAGGCACAAAGTCACCCCCAACCAGGGTCAGGCCAGAGTATTTGATGTGGGCAGTGTGGGAATGGGGTGGCGTCTGGGATGAGGGGGGCATGCCCATGCAGGAAACCCCACATCACCCCTGAACCCCCTCCTCTCCAGGACACGCACAGGGTCTCCTGGTACCTGTCGAGGGCCGGCCCCTGAGCCTGCTCTGTGTTCACGTGGACGTGGCCACAGTCTGGACGGACGGGTGTGTGAGCACACACACAGTCTGTGACCACAGAGAGCCGGCTTCGTGCACCCAGATGGGACGGTGTTGGGGGCTCGTTTTTGTGGCAAGAGATGGGTGGGGCTGGCAGCGGGCCCATGGCTGGGGCTGTGCATGGTGTGTGTGTGCCTACTAGAGGATGTCGCTGTGGGTCTCTACTATGTGCACAGATGTGTCCTACATGGGTGTGTGGCGTAAGGAGGGACATGTCCCCAGATTGTGCCTGAACATGTGGCCATGGGTGGGTGCAGTCGGGGTGTGTGCGTGCGTGCGCGTGTGTGTCAGGGCATGGTGTGTGCATGCATGCGGGGGCGGCGGTGGGAGAAGGGTCTTGGGCCGCGTCTGTCTCCTCTTTAGACAGAGCCCCGGAGAAGATATGAAATTTAAAAAAAAAATCAATTTTCATTCCACTTGTGCAGATTGTGTTAAGGGGAGGTGGGGATGGGGGGCCTGGGTGAGGGATGAAGGGGCTGGGGGGCGGTGCGAGGCCCGAGGCGGCTCCTGAGGCCGCCGGCGCAGCTTAGAGAAATCAAAACAACTGGTTAAACCCCAGCCCGGGGGGCCGGGGTGATGGGGGGTTAGGAGACAGAGGCAGAGAGAGATGACAGAGAGCCCAGAGACAGAGAGGGACAGAGACAGACAGAGACAGAGAGAGGCACCCAGAGAGAGAGATGGGGGAAACAGAGACACTCAGAGATGGAGATATTTAGAAAGAGAGGCAGGCCAAGATGAGCAGCAAAGACCCTCAGTGACAGAGACAGACAGAAAGACACGCCAACACCCGAAGGAGCTGAGAGAGACCGGGAGACCTTTGTCTCGAGAGACAGCCACAGAAGCGGGTCTGAGACAAGGGCACATGTCACATACACGCACACACACACACAGATCACGGACCCATGCAGAGACATGCTTGGGAAGTCCACAGACGGAGGGACAGGCAGACAGATGGGGATGGTGGGAGCAGGAGTGGCAGGGGCCTTGGGTTGGGGTCACCGCTGAGTGCCCACCCTACCCAGTGTGTCTGGGTGTGTCTGTGTGTACCTCTGCAGGGGCCGCTGTGTCGGTCGTGGGTTTGGGTCCGTGATCTTGGTGTGTGTGATTGTGACTGTGTCTGTGAATGGCTGTGTGTGTGGCTATGTGCGTTGGCTCTCTGGGTTGGTGCTGGTGTGTGTATCTCTACGGCTCCATGCATGACCAAGTACATATGTATGCGCTGGAGGGTCGGTGGTGCTTGTTTGTGTGACTCTGTGTCTGTTTCTGTGTGCTGTTGTCTCAGTGTGTGATTGTGTGCTTGGGAATCTGGGTTTCCGTATTTGATTGCGAGCCTCAGTGTGTGTTTATGTGTCTACACAGTGTGTCTAGGATTTGTGATTGTGTGTCTTTGTTTCTGTGTGAGTTTGAATTGGTGTGTGTCGTGTGTATTTGTGTAAAATTGTGTGTCTGTTTCTGTGTGTCTGTGACTATGCTGTGTGTGACTGTGTGATAATGTTGGTGTGTGACTTTACTGACACATGCAACTGTGATGTGGGTTGTGTGTGGCAATGGTGGTGTGTGTCTCTGTGATTGTGTGGGATGTGGTGCTGTGTGTGACTTTGTTGACATGTGGGCTCCTGCGGTGTGTGATGGGGTGTGTGTGTACTGGTGTGTGCATCTGTGCGATATGTGCTGTGTGGGACGTGGCGGTGTTCGTGCCTGGGTTGGTGTGTGGGTCTGTGTGGTTGTGCTTGGCAGGGAGAGAAGGGAGGAGGGCCCTCGCCTGCCCAGCGCCTCTGCACACCGCTTCGCTCACATGCGCACACACATTCGGTGCCATGGCTGCGGGCGGTAGAGATGGGGGGTGAAGGGGGGGTGGAGGAAGCAAAATAAAATTAAAAATTAAAGCTTGCCTGGAGTCCCCATCCGCACCGCGCCGGCCGGCGGGGAGGGGCGGGGGGTTGTGGCTGCTCCCCCTCCACAGCCACTGGGGCTGGGGCCGTTTGTCCATCTGTCTGGCCGTCCTACCAGGCCCTGTTCGGCCCTGCAGCCCCAGGCCCCGCAGGCCCTGCTCCCTCCATCGGTCGATCAGCGATCAATGGGGCCAGGGGGGCGCCAGGGGCAGGGTGAGATCAAAGGGACCCCAAGAGACGGACACCGGGACAGAAACAGAGACAGAGACATGGAGGTGGAGACATGGAGACAGAGACACAGAGACAGGAAGATGGGGCATGGAGACAGATGAGACAGAGATGGGGGACATGGGGACAGGACAGGGACTTGAGGAGGAGGAGATATGGAGACGTGGAGACAGAGATGGGGTGTGGAGACTCTAGATATCAAAACAGAGCCATGCGGAGACCCAGAGACGTGGGGACCCAGAGACGTGAGGACACAGAAGTGGAGACGACGTGGGAACCGAGAGACAGGGAGGCATGGAGACCCAGAGACGGGAGGGACAGACGGACGGGGACAGGGCGGCAGAGGTGATGGACATGGGCAAGAGGTCCAGGTCCCTGTGGGGCCTGACACAGGACCAAGGCTGGGCACAGAGACGGGGAGAAGTGGCCACAGAGACCGCGAGATGGCAGAGATGCGTGTGAGACACGGCGGGGGGAGCGTGGGAGCAGGGCCCGGAGCGCCGATCCCACGGCTCCTCGTTATAACGTGTCCGGAGGAGGCGGCGGGGAGTTGAAAGCGTCGGGAAGAGAAATCAAAACCAACACGGAAATGAGAGGGGCCAATAGGGGGTGGGGGCGGGGGGAGGAATAGCATTAGGAGATATACCTAATG